TTTCTCGTTTATATTCAATGAAAGGAAAATTTGCTGAGGCCAAAAAATATTCCGAAAATTCGATAAGGCCAAAAAAGTTGGAATCTTTTAATAAATATCGAATCCCTCCGATTTGTATGGAGTTTTGCTTTGCTTTAAACAGGCAAAATGTTGTATTCAAGTTTTGGGAAATACTTGAAGAAAATGGCTATACGAAGTTTTTTCCTCTCCTGTACAATTTTTAAATTGGGACTTAGCAGCTTTGCACTCTACGCTAGCGATATTTATTAAATCAGACAAATTTTCAAGTAAAACATTTTTTAATTGTATTTAAAAAATGTTATTGGGGAACGTATACATCACAAATAATAATGTATATAACAGGTACTTTTGAAAGTGACGATTAATAAAAAAAACATAAAACAAAAATATACAAAAACAATTTCTCTAAACATGTTTATTCTGCTCTATAAAGAAATGGCGAATGGAGAATTTTTTGCCATTTTTTTCGCAATTTATTCGAAATTTTGAGGGTGTACGAGTCAAACGGATATCAGAATCGGATTCAGCGGGCCGAAATACATGTTGGTAGTTGGGTCTGGTTAAAAACACACACCCCTTTTTTGCCGGTGTTGTTATTATTGCACTTAAAATATTTTCGTAAGAGCAGCAAATCATTCAAAGCGGAGTCTTCTAAGCTTGACCTGCAGTTTTTTACATACAAAACCTACTGATGAGAAACATCCCTGCCAGCCAAAAGTGGTGACAAATCTGGTGAAACCGCGGGTTTCGGTCACTTCAAAACTGGTGACAAAACTGGTGACATTTGTATGGGCGGTGTGCAGATTGTCACCACTTTCCCCCTGTACGTGTGAGCCTTGCATCACAGTCGCACTCACTCAGATACTTCGTAAGGAAAACATATAGCTGCACTCGTCTAGCATTGCCCACTTCAGCTGGCGCAGGGTTGCATTCTCTTCACAGCGAATTCAAAATAACCTTAAAAACTTTAAATAAAAAATCTTAAAATTTTTTTTTATTTTTATTTTGCAAAATTTATTTTTCAAAATACATTGTTAACCTAATATAAATAGTTAGTAATCAATATTATGAATAAAAATTACAATTAACATTAATAATAAAGATATTTTTACATACATATGTGGTTGCTTAATTGCTTATTATTACTACTACTCGTTTGCATATAGCTGTTTTCAAAAGTTGCAAAATTTCTTTAAAAATTTAAGCGATTTTAACAGTATTATAATCAAAAGAAAGGTAATCGATTTATCTTTCTTTTGATATATATTAAAAGTTGCAAATCATTTATAATGGTTCACAAAAATTCAGTTTCATTACAATTTTGCAAAATTTGATTGCGTTTTTCCGACTTATATATAGACGCTTTCAAAAGTTGCAAAATTTCTATAAAAAAGTTAAGCGATTTTAACAATGTTATAATCAAAAGAAAGGTAATCGATTTACCTTTCTTTTGATGTATATTAACAGTTGCAAATCATTTATACTGGTTCAAAAAAAGTCAGTTTCATTACAACTTTGCAAAATTTGATTGCGTTTTTCCGACTTATATATAGACGTTTTCAAAAGTTGCAAAATTTCTATAAAACAGTTAAGCGATTTTAACAATGTTATAATCAAAAGAAAGGTAATCGATTTACCTTTCTTTTGATGTATATTAACAGTTGCAAATCATTTATACTGGTTCAAAAAAATTCAGTTTCATTACAACTTTGTGCAAAATTTGATTGCGTTTTTCCGACTTATATATAGACGCTTTCAAAAGTTGCAAAATTTCTATAAAAAAGTTAAGCGATTTTAACAATGTTATAATCAAAAGAAAGGTAATCGATTTACCTTTCTTTTGATGTTTATAAACAGTTGCAAATCATTTATACTGGTTCAAAAAAATTCAGTTTCATTACAACTTTGCAAAATTTGATTGCGTTTTTCCGACCTATATATAGACGCTTTCAAAAGTTGCAAAATTTCTATAAAAAAGTTAAGCGATTTTAACAATGTTATAATCAAAAGAAAGGTAATCGATTTACCTTTCTTTTGATGTTTATAAACATTTATACTGGTTCAAAAAAATTCAGTTTCATTACAACTTTGCAAAATTTGATTGCGTTTTTCCGACTTATATATAGACGCTTTCAAAAGTTGCAAAATTTCTATAAAAAAGTTAAGCGATTTTAAGAATGTTATAATCAAAAGAAAGGTAATCGATTTACCTTTCTTTTGATATTTATAAACAGTTGCAAATCATTTATACTGGTTCAAAAAAATTCAGTTTCATTACAACTTTGCAAAATTTGATTGCTTTTTTTCGACTTATATATAGACTTTGACTATGTGTAGCTTCTAGCGGCCAGTTGCATAAATTACTTATATCCATGGAGCCGCTCGAGAATAACACATTGACATCATGTGTAACCAAATTTTCGGAATTCGATAGTGGCGCTTGTAGCGTTATGTCTTGTGACTGGCTTGATGCAGCAGTAGTGTCTAAAACAATTATCTCATCTGGCGCTTGCAAACATTCGTAATTTTCCTCATCCTCAGTTAGATTAAATTGCAATTTGATGAGTTTCCGCTAAATATTAAAAAAAATAAATAAAACAATTATAAGTATGCAAAATTGAAGTTCATTAGTAATTAAGCAACTACCTCGTCTGAATCGAGACATTTCTAAGGATGCTTTGTCAGACTGTCCCTTGCCCTTTCATCCAACATGTTGAAGACCTTCATTATCCAATGACTCCGATATATACAATCTAAACGAAAAATTAAAAAAATTTAAATAGCTAAAAATAAGTAATTTATATATTAAAATATATATTTTTTATAAACGTAGCTGCTGATGCTCTAACACGTCTTTTGCACAGCAATCAGAAATTAAAATAAAATGGTAAAATTATTATTGTGGATGCAACCAGTTAGATTCTGATATCTGAAAAATAAAGTAACAAATTATTATTTCTCAAATGAAATATAATTCATAAATAATGGATTTTATTTATACAAAAAGCAGATGACTATAGTTTAGTAAAAATCAGCTTATTTAGATAAAATCATGCTCGTATTTACAATACTATTAATTAAGTTAATCCAACACCAATTTAAACATTTCAAATAAAGTTTAAAAAATATATTAATATTTTTAGAAAGGGACAGAAATAGGGTGAAGAAGTTTAAAATATACAAAATTATATAACACATTCAGGAAGCAAATATGATGTTAGAAAAAATGTTTTTTTAGTATTTACACTAACGAAGCACATAGCAAATAAAAAGAAAGTAATGTAAGTATTTAATTAGGTTATTTTCTTATAAAAATATAATTCATTCTTTGACTAAATCTTTAAAATTATTTCGACCACTGTATATTAATATTTACAGCTATTTTTTTTAATATTTACATTTACGAATCAATTACATAGAGTGCTTCACAATTATGCATCACCCACTTATTGAGAAGTTGCGACCAATAATTTGTATATTTTTTAATTTTTTTATGAAAAATTAAGTTCATTCTTTAACAAACACCATATCGACAGCCGGTTCGAAAGCAGCCATTCTCAGAATTCGGTTGAACGCCCTATCTCAGAATTTGGTTCAAAAACTCCGTATCTCAACTGAAAAATTGTGTGTACATATATTGAAAATAAGATAGGGCGAACTGGCTGTCGATATGGTGTTTGTTAAAGAATGAACTTAATTTTTCATAAAAAAATTAAAAAATATACAAATTATTGGTCGCAACTTCTCAATAAGTGGGTGATGTATAATTGTGAAGCACTCTATAGAGAAAATAAGAAAAAATTAATTACTATTTTGGCATCTTCTTCGATTTTGCTTATATCTATTATGACTTAAAACTACATAGTGCTTGATTGCTAAAATTTAGTCAGAGTGCATACTTGCAAATGCGGCTGTTAGTATTAAAAAATTAGTAGTGTAATATTGTTTAAATATCACAACACTTACCGAGAACTAGCTCCACAGTTTTTAATTTAATCAGTGGCTTTTTCCCAGCCTTTCCATCGAAGTTGTACAGCCACACCAACTCGTCGCTGAATAACGACTGCAGCACTTTCTCCACTGTACCCCTGGATGTTTTTAGCTGCATGATGATGCCCACCTTTAAATGTATTAGAGT